CTCGGTCTGATTCACCGATCTGTCCTGGGGAAAGGTCGGGGGCATTTCGAGCAATTTTTCAGGCTCGACTCGCAGACGGGGGCTACGCAGCCAGGGAGGCATCGTTCGCAGCTGATCGAGAATTCCAGCGGGCGCTTGAGCGGTTTTGCGTTTCCAAACTCGCGTCCTGCTGATTATAACATCCGCCGCTCTGCGGTTGATCGGGAGTTTCTGTATATATAGAAGAAGGGGCGCGCGCTTCTGGGCGAGAGGGAAACGACCGAGAGAAGAAGGGGCGGCCGCCCCACAGGACCTCTCCATGGTGCCGGAAGCCCATCAGGGCTCCCTCAGGGCCCCTCCCCCAGGGACGGGGCTCCCTCGCCTGCCCCCTCCCCCTCCTCCTCCTCCTCCTCCTCCTCCTCCTCCTCACCACGAAGGTGGGGGGCATGCTGCACAGCTCTTACGCAGGGGTCAAAGGCCTCTCGGTGCTCCAGAGGCTTGCGAAGACCCCCAAGCGCCTGACCCTGACCCTGACCCTCCTCCTCCTCCTCCTCCTCCTCCTCCTCCTCCTCCTTCGCCCCCGTCGGCATATCCAGGCGTGTTATGCAGTCAGGTCGTCCGTCCGGAAACGGTGCCGGAGGCCGCTCTGGGCTCCTCTGGGCATCCCCCCCGGGGCCCGTTTTGTGAGGATGTCTCAGGCGAGGGCGCCGGTTTGGGATTCGTCACCGGATCCAGCGGATCCAGCGGATCCGTCCGGAAACGGTGCCGGAGGCCGCTCTGGGCTCCTCTGGGCATCCCCCCCGGGGCCCGTTTTGTGAGGATGTCTCAGGCGAGGGCGCCGGTTTGGGATTCGTCACCGGATCCAGCGGATCCAGCGGATCCGTCCGGAAACGGTGCCGGAGGCCGCTCTGGGCTCCTCTGGGCATCCCCCCCGGGGCCCGTTTTGTGAGGATGTCTCAGGCGAGGGCGCCGGTTTGGGATTCGTCACCGGATCCAGCGGATCCAGCGGATCCGTCCGGAAACGGTGCCGGAGGCCGCTCTGGGCTCCTCTGGGCATCCCCCCCGGGGCCCGTTTTGTGAGGATGTCTCAGGCGAGGGCGCCGGTTTGGGATTCGTCACCGGATCCAGCGGATCCAGCGGATCCGTCCGGAAACGGTACCGGAGGCCGCTCTGGGCTCCTCTGGGCATCCCCCCCGGGGCCCGTGTTGTGAGGATGTCACAGGCGAGGGCGCCGGTTTGGGATTCGTCACCGGATCCAGCGGATCCAGCGGATCCGTCCGGAAACGGTGCCGGAGGCCGCTCTGGGCTCCTCTGGGCATCCCCCCCGGGGCCCGTTTTGTGAGGATGTCTCAGGCGAGGGCGCCGGTTTGGGATTCGTCACCGGATCCAGCGGATCCAGCGGATCCAGCGGATCCGTCCGGAAACGGTGCCGGAGGCCGCTCTGGGCTCCTCTGGGCATCCCCCCCGGGGCCCGTTTTGTGAGGATGTCTCAGGCGAGGGCGCCGGTTTGGGATTCGTCACCGGATCCAGCGGATCCAGCGGATCCGTCCGGAAACGGTGCCGGAGGCCGCTCTGGGCTCCTCTGGGCATCCCCCCCGGGGCCCGTTTTGTGAGGATGTCTCAGGCGAGGGCGCCGGTTTGGGATTCGTCACCGGATCCAGCGGATCCAGCGGATCCGTCCGGAAACGGTGCCGGAGGCCGCTCTGGGCTCGTGCTCTTCGCGCCGGGGGTGAGGATGACGTGAGTACCACAGAAATTCCCTCAAATCAAGCATTCGTTGCTTGGGTTGGTTTCGATATGCAGGAAGCTGCCGTTAGAAATCGTTGAGTTTTCGTTCAGCGTGCCAGAGTTTCACAGGGCGCTGCAGCGCCTCATCACTGACGCCGCGCAGGCAGGCGACGATGACTGGGAACGCGCTTTCTGCCCGTGCGTGGCGTGGCATCGGCACCCGCCCAGGAAATATATCTAACAACACATGCGTCGCTTGTAAACCAAAAAAGAATCGGCCTAAGGCGGGCGGCGAGGCTTTTCAGAAGTCCTCGCGCTTTCTGGGAAGTTGCACGTGCTTGTGTTGTGTGTTTCGCGCATATTTCGAACACTTCTCGGAATGCCAGGGGACTACCGAGCTTTCTGAGAAGGCCTTCTCCTTGTCACGTTCCCCCTCTTCGCTCGCCGCCGAGAGAAGGTGGGGCCCAATGGAACTTTGTGGTTCAAACGCAGCAGCAGATGATGTTCAGGAGGATAAGAACCACACAGTCGCCAGTAACCGTCGACTCCCAGGAACATATTGGAAACTATGGGAATTGAGGGGGGAGACGAAAACCCAGAACATATAAGAAAACATGGGGGACCTTGTCATGTGTGTCCATTGATTTGCGTGTCCCAGGGCCCCTTCAGATGCTTCGCAGTAAGTTTCGACGTCTCAGATGGAAGTGGAAGCGCTTGGTATGGTTGCGAGATGTGTCGTTGACATGGCCGACGAAATGCTGCGGCCGCCGAACCGGGCTCGTATATTGTGATACCATATCATTCAGTAGCACGGGGCGTGGCGCTTTGAACAACAAAAAACAAGATTGGACCATGAGGAGGGGGAGCAAGATTTGGCTATCTGACGTTTCTCGCCCCTTGAGGGCCTCTGGGAGGTGCGGTCGCCAGAGCTGGGCCCATTCGAAATGATTTTCGCATCGCATCCAGGGACAGATCCGCAGGCCGGTTTCGGAGTGGGGCGAGGACCAGGGGGGGGAATCTGATGGCGGAGGCCATGATAATTCCCAGGTTTCATGGCGCCCCTTCTTATTTCAATGCTTTCCCTGGCCCCCCCTTGATCCGCGCACATGCCTCGGCCCACTCCCCGCTTGGACACCCCCCGCTTGGCCGCCCCCGAGAGAACGGAACAGGAGACGGCTGAGACTGAGGCTGGCCATATGGGCTCGATGCCCCCTCGTCACACAGGACGCCAAAGCGAGCTCAGTCCTCCTCTTGAGGGAGTTCGATCAGAGTGGCCCCCGCTCCACCCGTCTAAACCAAGTTGTGGGTTAAGCCGCCGAGAAAGGAGGAGGATAACAACTATGCGAACTATACTGGCCACTCTGTTCAGATACCATTCTCTGAGCTCATTAACGACACGATATCAACGACACACCAACGACGCTGTATTCTCGCCAGCACAGTATCGACGCAATGAGAATACGCCATACCAGAGTGACGCTACCCATTACAGGATAAGTTCGACATGCTTCTTTTGCCGAGGACCAGGCTTACGACTTCATTTTATCGCCGCCACGCCAACGGCATTACCCTAACCGTATCCAGCTCCCTACGGCAAGTCCCGCCACCGTGCCTAGGTTGTGGGTATGAAGCCTATTGAATGTTTGTTGGGATCTCGTGGGAGGCCTCTCGGGGGCCTCTTGGAGGCAGTGTATAGGCCTCTTGGGAGCCGTTTTAAGGCCTATGGAGGCCTCTTGGGACCTCTTGCGTGCCTCTAGTCAGCCGATTGGATTTTCGGTTCCCTTTGGGCCCGTCTTAGGGCACTCTTGTACCGTCTTAGGCGCCTCTTGGGCCGTCTTGGGGCGATCTTAGGCCGTCTTGGGGCCCTCTTGGAGGCCTCTTGGGCCGTTTTGGGGGTGGTCTTAGGGGCCTCTTGGGTCGTCTTGGAGCGTCGGCAAGCCGAAAAGGGGAGAAAGCTCTGATCTTTCAAACACGTGAGAAACACTAATGATGTTTGCCTCTTGGGAGGCCTCTTGGAGCTCTTGTGGAGCGTCTTTGAGGCCTCTTGGGCCGTCTTGAGGCCATCTTGGGAGTCTTCGCTTGATCGTTCGGCGACTCGGGGCCCTCTTGGACCGTCTTGGGGGTCTCCTGGGCCGTCATGGAAGCCTTGGAGAGCCCGGGGGAGGCGTCATGGCCGCCCAGGGACCCCCCGGGAGTAGGGGCGGTGCAGTCACGGAAGTGTGACCTGGGGGGCGGGGGAGTCCCTTTGGAAGATTACAGAACCACTGCTGGGCAGCCTTGCGTATATTGCCAAGCCTCGACGTGCCGCAGGTACTGTGGCGGATTGTCCTACCAGCACTACGCATGCGACACCCTGACGACATTACACGCACGCCACTCTGGGAAATCACGACGCCAACGACGACGAACAAATTCTCCAATATGTTCAGAACCGACTCTCTTTGGGAAGGGGTCCATGCATCACCTGCTTTCCCGGGGCGGTCTCCGCTGATTCCCAATGGCTCCCAAGTGTCTTCCCTCTCCTCGGCCTCCTTGCAGGTGGGGGGCGTTGCAGATGCATTATCGATGGAATCTTCCACGGAGATGAGGGGCAACGATAGGGGCGGAAAGGCTCACGGGGGAGGCTCCGGGAGGAATGCACCGACCAAAAGTGCCCATCCATCGCCGATGGGTGCCCGACAGCGTGCCCCGCTCAGGAACATGCGGTTTCGCCATCGGGGACCTATCGCCAGTCAATCGGAGATGTATCGTACGCTGCCAAGGCCCAGCATCGCCCAGGCGATCCACATCCCCACCGGGCCATGCTATCTCCGCCCCTCCCGCCAACGCCCGCGGCTGGGGATAGGCCCGGCGACAAAAATAACGGAACAGCAGATACCGCCGTTTGAGGGGAAAAGTCGGCCAGTGGGGCCAAGGCCATGCCAGTGGGGATGGGGATCGGTGAAACGGTGTTCAGTCGTGACCGTGGCATTTGCCGCCCTCCCTCGTCGCAGGAGTTGGCGATGGGCACGCCTGTTTTGGGGTCGATGGTGCACGGTGCCCATCATGCAAGCCAGATCCAGCGCGCGCCGACACCTCTCTTGCACGAAAAAAGACGTCCCGCATTTGCCTGCCCTCGGGGGAAGCGAGAAGGGGCGGGGCCTTCACAGGACTCTCGAAATTCCATGGCCTTCTGAGAAGTGTTCTAAGCCTTCTTCGACGACGGAGAGAATCTCTCAGAAGCCTGGAGGCCTTTGCCTACCCTCTATCACCTGCTTCCCCCCCAATGCCGGCCGGCACGTGGCACCGCGCAGGCGCCGCTGGCTGACGGTGCCACGTCGCCGATGTTGCCGCACCTGTGCTCGCAGGAGGAGACCCAGGCCGCCTGGCATGGAGGAGGAGGAGGGGGAGGAGGAGGGGGAGGAGGAGGAGGAGGAGGAGGAGGAGGGAGGAGGAGGAGGAGGAGGAGAGGAGGAGGAGGAGGAGGAGGAGGAGGAGGAGGAGGAGGAGGAGGAGGAGGAGGAGGAGGAGGTGGGGGGGGGAGGAGGAGGAGGAGGAGGAGGAGGAGGAGGAGGAGGAGGAGGAGGAGGAGGAGGCGGAGGAGGAGGAGGAGGAGGAGGAGGAGGGAGGAGGAGGAGGGAGGAGGAGGAGGAGGAGGAGGAGGAGGGAGGAGGAGGAGGAGGAGGAGGAGGAAGGAGGAGGAGGAGGAGGAGGAGAGGAGGGAGGTGGAGGAGGAGGAGGAGGAGGGGGAGGGGAGGAGGAGGAGGAGGAGGAGGAGGGAGGAGGAGTAGGAGGAGGAGGAGGAGGAGGAGGAGGAGGAGGAGGAGGAGGAGGAGGAGGAGGTGAGGATTTGGAGGAGGAGGGGGGGGGAGGGGGAGGGGGAGGGGGAGGGGGGGGAGGGGGGGGGAGGGGGAGGGGGAGGGGGAGGGGAGGAGGAGGAGGAGGAGGAGGAGGAGGGGGAGGAGGAGGAGGGGGAGGAGGAGGCGCCGTCTGCCTCCTCCTCGGAGGGCGCCGGCTGCGCGGCGGGTCCGCGCCGCGTCGCCGCGGCGGCGGCCACGGCCCGGGCGCGCGAGGTGGAGCGCGACGCGCTGCCCGGGCTCGGCCGGCATCGCACGGTCAGCTCTGCCCGAAAGTCAAACGACGCGAAGATCGGGACAAAATCGGATCGGGATAACGTGAAATCTCTGAGAATGGGCGGGTTTGGAGGATGTATTGGGCGCCGCGGCCGCTCCAGAGCGTTCCGGAACGCTCTGAGAGCGCTCCGGAACGCTTTGGAGCGATTTATCCAGATCTTAGCCCTGTTTTAGCCCGGGCTCGGCCGGCATCGCACGGTCAGCTCTGCCTGAAAGCGGCGACCGTTCATCAGAGCGTAAAGTGCCTACCCCGCTTTCGCCTCCAGGCAGAGCCAAGTCGTACCACGCGCCTCCTCGTCAAGTGTGGCCGCAGTTTGGCATCGCTTGGTCGTGCCGTGACCAGTGCAGGCCGTAGCTTGGCATCGCTTGGTATCTCTTGGAAGCGAGGGTGGTCAGCAGCGAGGTACGTCTGTTCGCCCCCTAGTTCAGGACTGCACGATCAAGGGCGGCCGAACCGACCCCTGGCGGAGCATCCCCCTCCGTGACGTCCCCCTCGCCTCGCCCCAATACGTCTGTGTGCGGCCAAGGGAAGCTTTCGAGGCGAGAGGGACGTCACTGAAGGGGATGGTTTGCCAGGGGTCGGTCAGGCCGCGCCCGAAACAGTCCACGCGGCGTCAGAAACCAACACCCGGTTCGTCGCGGCACCAGTTTGCCGTACCATTAGTTCTGGTCTTGCCCAGGCCTGGCCGATCTTGAGCCCAGGGTTGGCGCATGTGCCTTTTCGTCAGAAGCCAGAAAGGCGTGTGCACCGACCTTGGACCTGGGACGGGCGTGGTCAGGATTTAGTGTAGGTGTATATGAAGGGCGTCCTCTCCTCTGCTCTGCACCTTGTATGATCCCTCCTTCCTGGAGGAGGGAGGAGGAGGAGGAACAGGAGGAGGAGGAGCAGGAGGGAGAAGGGGGGAGGAGGAGGAGGAGGAGGGAGGGAGGAGGAGGAGGAGGAGGAGGGAGGGAGGAGGAGGAGGAGGAGGAGGAAGAGGGAGGGAGGAGGAAGAGTAGGAGGAAGAGGAGGGAGGAGGGAGGGAGGGAGGAGGAGGAGGATGAGGGCTCCTCCTCCCCTCCTCATCCTCTTCAGTCCTCCATCTCGTCCTCCTCGACCGTTCTCGTGCTCGACCTCCTCCTCCTCTCCACTGTCACACCTGCACTCGTCGTCCGCAGCCTCGGCCTCCACCGCCTCAGCCTCCGTCCTCCGTGTGGGCCCCGCCTCTCGCTCCTTGTTGTTTCTCAGGAGGGGGGCAAACACACAGGCACAATGAATCGCCCACTCCCAGGAAAATGTGGGAAAACATGGGGAGTGGGGGGAAGATAAACACCAATCATATTTATATATATACATACATATACATATACATATACATATACATATACATATACATATACACATATATATATATATATATATAGGTAAACATGGGGAATCCTGTTACTTGTGTGTGTTTATCTGTGTGTCCTTGGGCCCCTTCGGTTGTTTCGCCTGGCCCCTGCCCTTCCACATGGTTCTCCTGCTCCTCGGCTCCGCGCTCGTGGCCGACGGGCTCAACGTTTTTGGTTGAGAGGCAACCCTTGCCGTGCGTGTGCCGTGCCCTGCCCGCGCTCTAGACTGCGACGGATGTGCCGTCCGCGCGCGGCGGCGTGGGGCAGTTTGATGCTTCTTGGGCCCGATGCAGTGGGGGCCCATGCCAAGAAGCACCCTGCTGGCCTCCAGGGTGCCTTGGGTTTCGATGGTTTTGAGATGGAAAGCAGGGTTTAGTTTCTTGTGGAAGGTTTCTTGTGGACTGGCCTCCACTGCACCATGCCCCGGAGCCCGACATCGAGGAAAAGCGCTCCGGTTCCAAAAACGTATCTTTGCAGATCTGTGCACATCGCCGTCGCCCCTGGCCCCCTCGCAGGACATGTGCACATCTGGGCGGCTCACCACAAAGCCCCAAGCAGGAAAAACATCGCCTCGAGCATCTGCAGGGGAGGTCCTCGAGAGGCCGGCGGCTGGAATTCCGTCATGCGGTGAGATTGACGGCGGCAACCACCGTCAGGGCGCGGAAACAAGGACCACCCGGCGCTCGGGAGGGGCTGTGGCTGTCGTCCGGTACGGTGGCTGTGACCGGCACGGTAACGTCCCGTTCGGTAGCGGAGGCCGGTGCGGTGTCGATCGGTGCGGTGGCCACGGCCGGTTGGCGCGGTACGGTACAGGCCCTGTACCGGTTGGCCGGGATCCGGCACGTATAGCGGCCATCATGCTATAGTTCTGGGTCGGGGGAGCGAGTTGTGTTTGTGTCCAGCGCTCGTCTCAGCAAGAAAGGCCCTGCCGTTCCTCCTTCAGCTTTCCCGGTGGTGCACCGAGCGCTTTCCACTACTCGCAGAGTGCCTACTCGCAAACGCCCGAAAAACACATGTCTGCTTCGATGACATTTATCGTAGATGCCCCGCGGCGGAACCAGGCCATTTGCGAGTAGCTACTTTGCGAGTAGTGGAACGCGCTCGTCTAGTGGTCCAGTTAACCCGCATAGGAAGGATGGGCAGCCTTGCCAAGGGTACCCTTGCATCCTTGCTCCTTCGGCCCATCCTTAGCGGCGTTCGCTGGCCAGCCTCCTTCGAAAAACGTTCACATGGGCCTCCAAGGCCCTTGCATCCTTACCGCGCATCCTTGTTATACGGGTTGATTGCAGCGCGATGATTGTAGGCGCCAGGGCCCACGCGGTCTGGCATTATCCTCCATCGGCGAGTCGGGCTTCCGTTGATTCAAACATCGTTCGAGACCAGTGGCACGACCATGTGCACCAGATGCATGCTGGTGCTGCGCACCAGGCTGCTCTGTCGCAGTCGATCCGCGCATATCTGGCCTCGACTTCATCACTGGCAGAGTCCTGGTGAAGAGGAACGAGATACCGATTGTTGGGGCTATGGTTCTTGTCTGTGTCTCTGGCAGGAGCTGCCCCTCCCCCCCCACTCTCTGACGCGCTCTCTTTTTCTCTCTGTCTCTCTCGCGCTCTCCCTCTCTCTCTCTCTCGCTCTCTCGCTCTCCATCTCTGTCTCTCTCTCTCTCTGCCTCTGTCTCTGACTCTGTCTATTTCTGTCTCTTTCTCTCTCTCGCTCTCCCTGTCTGTCTCTTCCTCTATGTGTATTTCCTCTCTCTCTCTCTCTTCTATCTCTCTCTCTCTCTCTTCTCTCTCTCTCTCTCTCTCTCGCTTTCTCCCCTCTCTCTTTCCCTCTCTCTCTCTCTTCCCTTTTTCTCTCTCTCTCTCTCTCTTTCTCTTCTCTCTCTCTCTCTCTCTTTCCCTGTCTTTCGCTCTCCTTCTCTCGCTGTTTATTTACATAGCTGTACGTACATATGTACATTCATATCCGACATCAGTTCGATGCATCGATGTATGCACATATATGTGCTATACGTACTGCTGTATGCATTACTATCATTATATATGTCTATATGTGTTCCTCTCTCTCTCGCTCTCTCTCTCTCTCTGTCTCTCGTTCTCTCTCTCTCTCTGTCTCTTTCTCTATCTGGAATATCTAGAATCCTCTCTCTTCTCTCTAGATTTTCTCTAGATTCTCTCTCTCTTTTCCTTTTTTTTTTCTCTCTCTCTCTCTATCTCTCTCTCTCTCTCTATCTCTCTCTACCCTGTCTCTCTCTCTCTGTTTATCTATCCTCCCTCTCTCTCTCTCTCTCTCTCCCATTACCCTCTCTCTGTATATCTAGATAGACATACATACACATGTACGTATATGTCAAATTTCATGTGTGTGTATCACTATGTATGCGGGCACGTGTGCTATACGTATATACATGTATCCCTCGCTCTCTTGAGACTTCTTGATATATATATATATATATACATGTACACATATGTATGTGTTTTATGTATATGCACATACATATATCTAGTCATGCAACTATGCATATATGCACATACATCTATGAACACATACATCTATACGTATAGATGTGCTCCCCTCTAAAGTATGGGTCATTTGTACAAGTGTATGCTACCCTCCTCGGTGAAGGCAGCCGCACCTGCGGACAACGGTCCTTGGTCCGCTGCCGTCTCGCTGAAGCCTCGAGAGACCGCCCGGATGGCAGCCGCGCTCCGGGCCGTGGCAGGCCATTTTGGTGCCAAAGATCGGCCGCGGCCTCAGCACAGGTGTCGCGCTGTACGCGGCCAACCAGGGCAAGGCTCGATTCGATTCATCGGTTCGGTTCGATTCGGATTCGATGGCTACCGATTCCGATTCGACTTCGGATTCCGATTCGG